CATCATCCATCAAGTGAAACAGGTAAAACCTATTCGGAAATGATTAAGAAGAAAAAAGATATAATCAATCAATTAAGAAAGAATTTTAAGTTTGAATAAATTAATTAGATTAATAATTTTATAATCTAATTAATTACATATAATGAGATTAGACAACACACAGATGAAAACGCTAAAATCACAATTAAGATTAAGACCATCTTATAATGAACTCATCAAGGAAATTACAAAGGAAGAATATAAAAATAAGAATATAAGAGATGTAATAGACAGAAACGCTTATTATTTTCGCGACAGTCCGTTAGGAACAGTTTATGATAATAATACCGTAGATTTGAGACAACAACACTTTCAAAAAATATTAGAACAACCTAAAACCGTTGAACAGTTTGATATGACAAGGGACAGTGAAATGGATGATTTAAGAGACGGAGCAATACAAACACTAACTGCCACAATGGACAACGCCGAGGAACAACACGAACAACAAATAAGTCAAGTTTCAAAAAGAGTTAGTAGCGAACAAATAGCCGACCTACACGAACGAGCACAACGGGCAAGACAATTAGACGAGAAAGATGAGTGGCAGTCAGTAGCAACTGATAAATCAAGCGATGATGACTTACCACCGTTAGAACCATTGATGACAGAAGACGAAGCAGTTAAACGGACACAAGGGGCGCAAAGAGGTTTATTGTTAAGGCAGAAAGTAAGACGAGATGATGACCCAGAAAGCACACACGAACCAAAGGGAAGAAGAGGAAGACCGAGAAACATCCAACCTATGCCAAAACCAAGAGCAACAAAAGACTAAATAAATCATTTTACATAATTTATCAGCAATTATATAAAATGATTAACAATCTCAGACACGAGTTAAGGAAACGCCCTACTTATGATGAAATGCTTAAACAAGCAATAACAAGCAAAATAAAAACAACAGTTATATTGAAGAAATACAAGAAAGGAAGTTTATTGAATAATTTTGATTTTGATAAAATAGATTTAATGAATTATAAAAATAAAGAAAGATATTTGAACGCAGAAGTTATGATGTCAGACAAGGCAACGCAAACACTTAACAAAGAAAACAAGGCAACACAAACAGACCTACCACAAGATAAGGCGACACAAACGTATAATTTTGATGATGAGACAAAACTATTAGGTGGGTCTTCAAAGAGTTTCAAAAGCAAACTGATAACCAAGGCAGAAGCAGAAGCATTAGCATTTACATATGACCCTGATTTATATGATGATGACGATGATGATGATGATGATGATAAAAAAGATGATGACATTGATAAATACAGAAAGAAACTGTTTATGATGATGAGGATTATAGAATTTATGTTGGGGTCAGGTTTTAGTATAGGTCAAATAGTAGCACATTTAACATATCACACTACATTGACTACAACTCAAATTTCAGAGTTATTAGTTAATTTAACAATGAATTCATTAGTATCGTCTTATGATACAGCAAGTGCCATAATGAATTGGTTAAATACAAATGTTAGTGAGGAAGTTGAGTTAAACACTGAACCCCCTGTTAGTGTTCATAGTTCTCCACCTATCACTGTTAATAGTTCTTCAACACATACTGTTAATTCATCATCGTCAGAAGAAAATGCTAATTATGAAATAGCACCTCCTACAGATATGCCTATTCCTACCGGTGTGGATGGGGACGAGTCTGAAAGTGAAAATGATGAAACTGAAAACCAAAATGCAAACCCTTCAAAAACTAAAACTACTTAAAGAAAAATGGATATAATATAGTAAGACAAAAAATGACACTATTTAATCATGATAATTGTCCTTGAAAAAAATAAAACTTGTAAGTCTGTCGTAGCACTAGCAAATATTTTACCTGTTGATGTTTGTAATCTTATAGGTGGTTATATTAGAGTAACATGTTTTAATTGCTGGTATTTGATGGATGAAGAAGAACATTTTATGAGAGATAAAGACATTCCTGAAGAAGGACTAGAAAAAGCAGAACTTCAATTAAACATTATTAAACAAATGCAACATAATGATATTACACAACTAGCAGAAAACCAATATAGTATAAAAATAAGACATTACAGAAAACACAGTGACCGAGTATTTGATATACAAGAAGTTAAAGAACGGTTTAAAAATAGAAAAATGTATTATCAAGCATTAAAATCATACTGTAAGAATAATGAAAATGAAGTTTGTATCATTTTAAGAAAATGTATTGACATTGAAGATTTAAAAAAAAAATAAACGTTGTAGGTTTAGCTTTCCAAACCTAAACAGTTGGTGGTCATATAGAAATAGAAGTTATTATATGAGAAACATATTAAGCGACTTAATTGAAATTTACACAGACCAATTAATAAAAGGATACGAGCATTATTGTTGTGAGTATAGTATGAGTTGTTATAGTGGTTGTATCGATGGTGAGATTAAATACAGGACAAAGTAACTTTTGTTTATTAATATTATTATCTTATAATATGATTAAATTCTTCAATCCCCCAGAAAGCCTTAAAATGGTCTGAAACTGAAACCCAAAATACCAACCCTACAAAAACTAAAAAAGACTTAAAGAAATATTAACTTATTATATTAAGTGAAAATATGGCTGAAATAAGATTAGAGGACTTGAATTTAGAAAATGTCGGAGTGATTGCTGACTTATCAATCTGGACACCATCAGACGAAGAAGATGATGATAATGACAGTTATAGAAAGGAACTAGAAGAAGAGATAAACAAAATAAAGGATTTCATCAAAAGACACCCTTTGCCACCAGTTGATGAAAACGAAGAATTCTGGAAAGATGTCACTAACAGGTTTAAGGATAATAGTGGATTTTGCTTGATGGCAATATACTCATTTGTTAGGTTTGACACCATGAAAGAAATGTATGAAATCCTAACAGATGAAGACATCATAAAAGACTGTGGTAAGAAGTTACACCGAGATGGAAAGTTTAAATCAATGATTATTAACCACTATATCTTATCAGGTGCGATACGGACACTAAACAAAGAAGACAGTCTAGTAGATGGACAGATGCGAATTATTGATTACTGGTGGGATGGAATAGGTGTATGGAAAGCATGAGTGATTTAGTTTATTCATATTATTTAATTATAATGTGATTAAACACTTGTGTCCCCCAGAAAGCTTAAAAATGGTCTGAAACCTGAACCTTGAAATGTTAAATTGTTAGACTGTTATTAAATGAAAAATTGTAAAAAAAAAAAAAAAAAAAAAAAAAAAAAAAAAAAAAAATTATAAATTTTTTAAGGGAATGACCCTTTATAACATTAGGAATAAATGACCGAAGAAATGAAACAATGCTCTAAATGTAAAATGAAAAGGACACTTGATAATTTTGAGAACGAAAACAAAAACTGTAATGTTTGTTTAGAAGCAAGACGAAGATATAGACAAAAGCAGAATGATAAGATAAGTCAATATAATAAAGAATATTACAAAGAACATAAAACTGAGTTGTTAATCAAATCAAAAGAAAAGCGGGAAGAAGAATATGTAGATTGCTTTTATTGTAATGATATAGTAAAGAAATATGATATAGGCAGACACGTTAAAAGCTTAAAGCATATTTCAAATATGGAAAGACTACACACATAATAATAATTTGTTTATTCATATTATGTTCTTATAATATGATTAAAACACGTGTATCCCCCCAGAAAGCCGTAAAATGGTCTGAAACCTGAACCTTGAAAATGTTAAATTGTAAAAAACAATGGGGGGGGGCTGCCGCCCCATGATGTTCGAAGAAGTGATGATTCAAGGGGTGCAATTTGATCTCTGAAGAAAAACCAAAAAGTAGCGGGGGGGTTGGAGGCCCCCCAATGATGTTCAAAAAGTGATGATTCAACTAGGGGTGAATGATTCAAGAGGTTGGCGGGGGTGGCGTGCCCTCTGATGCTCGAAGAAGTGCATGCATACAAACATGCATAGATTAAATATAGTGTCGTATTTTATAGCATTGTCTCGCGAAATTGAAAGTGATGATTCAAATAGGGGTGCAACTAAATCTCTGCAAAAATTCTAGAAAGTAGCGGGGGAGGGGGGAGGGTTGGGGGGGCTCCTCCCATGATGTTTTGAAGAAGTGATGATTCAAACAGGGGTGCAATTAGAACTCTGTAAAAGATCTAAAAAGGGGGGGGCGGCAGCCCCCCATGATGTTTGAAAAAGTGATGATTCAAGTAGGGGTGCAAAGACTCAAGAAAGGGTGCGATAGAAAATAAAAGCAGCGGGGGTGGCTTCCCTATGATGTGCATACATGCAGACATACATACATGCAAACATACATAAACATAAATATAAAGAACACTTGTCGGAGAGGAACTGGTGATGCTGAGGATGCGCGAAGCCAAAGCCAAAAACCGATGAAAGGGTGAGGAGAAGAACTGGGAATGCAAATGATGCGAAAAGCCAAAGCCAAAAAGCCACCAAAAGACGCAAAAACCAACAAGAAGCCGAAAAGCCAAGAAGCCGAGAAGCCGAGAAGCCAAAAAGCCAAGAAGCCAAGAAGCCGAAAAGCCAAGAAGCCAAGAAGCCAAAAGCGAAAAAAATATATCCTGAAAACAATATACCCCTCCTTTCCATTTCCCCCCCTGCACGCAACCCATTTTGGTTGCCCTATTTGTGATTGTGACAACCACACCAACTCTAAGCCTGGTTCCTCAAATGGCTTTGGGTCAAAACTGGGGGTGACCCCAAAACAGATCCGTGGCAAATGGAACCAAATATCCTGGTGACTAATTTTGACCCGGTTCCCCAAATGCTCTGCAGGGTCACCCCATGTTTGGGGTTACCCCACTTTTCACAAACATCGTGGTGGTGACTAATTGTGCGGCATACCTGCTTAAATCACCATTCTTGAAACAATTTCCTGGTTTAAGGTCCATCCCCAGTTTTCACCACACCCATTTCAAGCAGAGTCTGTGGAAGAATCCACATCCGAGCCAATCTGGGAGCCTTACCAGGCTCAGAAATCCCCCCAGCGCCAGCGCCAGCACTCCTGCGCTCAGCGTTGAAACCTCAAGTCGGGAGTGTATTTTGCGTTTGGGGGGGACCTGTTTGTTGGTGGCTTTCAAGGGAAACCACGAGGAAACCATCATTTTGGGTGACCACTAAAAAGAGAAGACAGACACATTTTCCCTCAAGCAGCTGGAAGACGCTATCTCCTGTGAGGCCGATGCGCGTCAGCCTGACAAAGTCAAACCCATGAAGCGGAAGTCATGTTTGAATACCCCTGAATGAAAATTGTGAAGAACCGAGTTTTCGCAATGGTAACTCTCCTTGCTATAGGCATCGCTTGACCTCATGCCCCCAAAATAGGTGGGCAAATCTGAAATGATTCTGTGTGTGTGTGTGTGTGTGTGCGTCTCCATCATATTGACCCGTGGTTCATACCTTCCCATGGAAAACAGGTAACCCTACTGAAAAAGGACCTCTTGACAATGGGCGGGTTTAGTCAGAGTTTGAATCGAATCCCAGCCCGCCTCCTGTCTCGAGGCTCCATTTGCCACCCTCAGACACGAACACGTTTCTGGGGATGGAATTGTCTTAACCAGCAAAACGATTCAAGCAATAATCCCCTTTCGGTTTGCCAAAACAAACTCTGTCAATTCTCTGCCCCCTTCAGTTCTGAAAAACCCAACCCCCATTTGTTCTTCCCCTGTCATAGATCACCCAGCTAACAGCTGAGCTCGGCCCAAGCTCGCCGCCCCGCCGCACTCGAAGCTCGGTCTCCGATCTTGAGCCCACGCAGCCCTCGTTCTGCAAGTTGCTTCAGCCCTTCCCGATCAGCAAAGCCCTTGTCCCAGGAGAAACAGTGCCAGTTCAAGGAACCCCCATGACGCACTGCGGGTCCGTCAGAAGCCTCGCCTGACACATACCCTCAAACTATCGAAAACCACCTGGCGCGTCCCCAAACACCTCCGAGAGTCCAGCAGAACACCACCTGACACCACCTGACCCCGCCTTCCGTAAAAGACACTTGCGAATGCTGGGAGACACATTCTGGCTGAAACATTTGAGATTCGCTTTCAGTGAGTGTCATGCTAGCAAAGGCGGCTTGTTCTTTTCTCATCCGTGTCATGCAAAACGATCCGCGAATTCCCCAGCATTAAAGTTTTTGCGAAATGCACACCAATTCATTCGCAAACGCATATTCGCACAGCTAGTTTGGATGGTAGCTGCAACATGTTTCATGTTCACGGGGCACTGCACTGTTTGCGTGGCGGACAGATGCGCTCTTCCTGGCTGCCTGTCACGCGGGCCCTCCTCCGCGCTTATGCGCGGACGAGCCGTCAAGGACAGATCTGCTGCGCGCAGAGCTAGCCCTGCGTGATTCTTCAAAGTTGTCACGTGTACTACTTCACCATGCTAAAGTCCAGATATTGGTATTGACTTTATCAAATATACTTTTCACAGGAGGATGTGATTCAGCCAACAACGCCAGCCGTGTTCGAGGAAAGAGCAGGCGCTCGCACTGCACGTGCAAAGAGAAGAAGCGGCAAGCTCGCTGCACTGCGTCGGCATCCACCGCTTGCACATCTACAACTGTGAAAGCACACTTCTTTACGTCTGCTCACACAAACACAACTGCGCAGCCCATGGGTCAAGAAGTGGCGTCTGCGCGAACGCGTCGCAGCTCCGCTTGGCCACTTGGCAAAAGTTGCATCGCAATGCGCTCCGGTCATGCTAGCAGTGGAAGAGACTCTACTTGTCCGGCACAACACCTGCATTTAAGCGCGGCAAGCTGCCGCTGCCACGCTGAGTGAAGCGACTCCGCTGCCGCGGCCAGTCACGGCTTTGAATCTCACGCTGCTTCTGTTTCAAGTTAAACCAGTTGTCAAATCAGACCCACAGGCGAGCTGAAAAAAAAACGACCTCACCCTAAGCAACCGTGCGCTGTTGGCCCCAGGCGAGACAGAACGCGTTCTCAGTTCTGAAGACGGGCGTGTTCTCGCAAAACATTTTCCGAGACACACATCCACTCGCCTTGGCCTGCTTAAAACAACCTCAAATCAGCTCCCGAATCATAGAACAAAATCACATGTGTCTCCCAGCTGCCGCACAATTTCGCAAACACGAAGCTGCACATGTTGCTTTGGTTCAAAACTACTTTCGCAGTCTTTAGATGTTTAGAAGTAAAGGAACCCCCACAAACTCGAAGAAAGCCAATCTAATGCTCACAAACTAATCTCATTTTTTCCACAAGTCAATCCCCTCCCACAAGCCAATCCAACAAAATCATCCTTCACAAGTCTGATTGATGCCTTGCCAACACCACAAGCCAATCTGATGCACCCTACAACCCAAACTGATGAGCAGACCAGAGCACATGACAGGCAATGGGAAGATCACCGCGAATGCGTTGAAAGAAGTGTGGATCGGAAGCAACCTCTGCACGCCAGCAAGAAGAGACAAAGTCGATGCCGTGTTGAGCAATGCCGAAGCAAACACCTTGTGCCAAGCATAGCACGGTCTATTTTGAATCAGCCTCCGGTCGATGAATCTGTTCATGTGCATGCACCAAGGGTATGACTGAAATTCACCTTAGTTCTGAAACGCTGCCTTCATATCCTTGGCACTTAATGCATCGGTTCAACCTGTGCCCCTGCCTAAAGAGCGGCACAGCTCGTCTTGGTGACTGATATGATTCTTGGGTTTTTCCCAGTCAATCTCTTCTTGAGATCACTTTCACCCACACTCACCGACACCGTTCTTGGACTTTATGGTGTTCTCTGCGGCGTACTTCTCCTGGTCGATGTTGAACTCGCGCTTCAGCCAAAAGATGATCACCTTCAGGGTCTCCTTGCATAGGCTGAAGGCCCCAACGGTGTTGCCAACACAGTCGGCCTCCATGGGCTCTCACTCGTCTGGCTGGGCATGGTCAATGACCCATCTGTGGTCCATCTTGTGACGGTCGCCTTGTGCTTCATCTTGAATAGATCGTCGCTGCTGCTGCTGCTGTTGCTGCTGCTGTTGATGATGTTATTGTTGTTATTGCTGTAGTTATTGCTGTTATTGTTGTTATTGCTGTAAGTGTTGTTATTATGTTGTTATTGTTGGTTATTTGTGATGTTGTTTGTATTATTGGTCTTGCTGCTGCTGCTGCTGCTGTTTTTGTTATAATCTTTGTCTTCTTCTTTCTTTTATTGTGCTTCTTCTTCTTCTTGTTGCTGTTGGTGGTGGTGATGGTGCACAGCTGCGAAATTACTAAAGACTGCTTGCTGGAATTGGCAAACAGGTCAACTAAAACATGGTAATGTAATCTTGCGCAGACACAGTCAGTTGTCAGCTGAGTCCGGAGATCATCTTCATCAAGATGTCCGTCACGAAGCTGGGAATGCAAACGCTTCAACAGGACAAGATGCTAACGTGGCTGGTGGAGGTTCCACATGCCCATCAGCCAGAGCATGTTCCTGGAAGAGGGCAACGCTGACTCACTTCTCTTTGAGTGTCTGCTATGCGAGACCTCGGAGCGGCTCGAATGAGTGAGCCAAACACTGTGTTACAACAGTGTTGTGATTCAGTCACGGGGGGCAGATGATGACTGGCAATGATTCAGAACATTAAATTGACGTTGCTGTCAAATATTAACCTTGTCATTCACATGTCACAGCAAAACCAGTCACGATCAACATCTGCATCTCAGACTGCGAATTGAAGTGACACAGTGACTCAGTCACTGTCACTGTCACTCACAGACAGAGCGTTTTGATGCGGAAGGGAAAAGATAAAGACTAACCTGCTGCCATTGAACTTACAGAAGCACAAGTGAGAGCCATGTCATGTAACTAGGTTTTTAAAGGTCTGCAAGGAGCCCTCACTCACAGTCACGGTCAATGCTGTGTCGTGAACTAGTGGTGATTTCTGTGACCAGGTCCGCCAGATGGAGATGCTCATTTACGGTGTGCTGCCCTCAGCCAAAACTTGACATTAAAAGCCTTGAGTCAGGACTCAGTGTCATTAGCTTTCATTTCAGTTCAGCCTTCGTCAATCTTTGTGAATTGCCATGCCTGCAGCTGTGATATGATCAGGCCAGACACTGTGTCATTCACTGTGTCCTGTCTTTGCAGCCATGTTTCATTTAGTGATTCAGGAACTCAAGGCCCGCCTTGGCCAAGGCACACAAATCAGCGGGGCAATTGCCACTCCGGAGCCTAGCAGCCCAGCACCTGCAAAGCAGCATCACAAGGCTTTCCGCTCTGCCGGAACGGTGGCCCTTACTCTGCCTGGGCAAGAAGGCCAGACAGTGTGTTATTCTTTGCGGTACAGATATCTGGGGGCCGGCTGTCACCGAGATGCTTACATGGTGAGTGATCTGAGGCACCCAGAAGATGAATTCAATAGGTTGGTGATGAAGGTGTCCAACAGCCATGATCGGTCGATGCAAGAAGACATCTGCTGCATAAATGCGGTGAGGGATCAGGCTCCGAGTTTGGCGAAATTCTTTCCCGAAATGCTAGCCTATCTCCCACACATGACGTGCAGGGGGAAATGGAAAGAATCGAGCCATTGCCTGCTCCTGCAAACTGCAATGGGTGATGGACAGAGTGTGGCAAGACGAGCGGCGGAGCTGACACAGCAAGAGCTCTATGTGCAAGCAGCTCTTGTCATGATGCAGGGGGGCCTGTTTTTGTTGAATGTGCAGGAGGCGGCCTTTGACAATGCAAATGGCCAATTGATCACGGACCTGCACCCTGCCAACATTGTGGTCACAAAGCGGCTTGAAGGTGGCAGGCATGAGTTTGGCATATGTGACACCAACGGCCTCGCTAAAACCAGGCGAGGCCACCACCTGAATGCGTTTGTGTCGCAGTCCGGAGCTTTTCTTCCGCTCCAATATCCAGTTGGTGACGTGCGACCTCAGTTGCTCGACTGCCTTGCCAGGCCTGGCAATGTCCTGCCCAGCATGCTCAGCAATGGCCCTCCCTGGGTCGCAGCAGAATTTGCGAACTGCCGGGCAGAATTTGAGCGGTGCCTGCAAATGCTGGGAGCAATCAGGGAAAGGAATGACGCCAGGCCCCTCTCTTCGGCAAGGCTTGAGCCCTTCAATAAGCCAAGCAGTGTGCTGGGAATGGCACCTCCTCCAGCACCTGCGCGCGCTGATCCATGGGCATTATCATCGCCAAGTGTGAGCCTTCCGGCTGCTGATCCATGGGCATTGTCGTCGCAAAATGTGCCAGAGCCCGTGCGCCCACCAAGCTGGGTACGGTATGCGCGGGAGCCTGTCGTCAATGTCACTGCCGATGATTCAGTGTCGCAGCAAGACATGCCCCAGGTGGGGCCGACAGACTCTGTGTCGCAGCAAGGCATGCCTCATGTGACACCCCATGACTCAGTGTCACAACAGTACCTGGCTGACGAGAGGGACTTGTCAGGTTGGCAAAACTTGCCACAGCCAGCGCAGCGGCCGATTGCAAAGGCGGAGCCTGCCCTGCACGCAGTGCAAGTGACAGGCCGCTGTCCAGCAGTGGAAGCGACACCGGGCTGAGTTGGCACAGGACCCTCAGGACCTGGAGTCCATGCCAGACTGGGCACCGGACGCAGAGTCGGGTGACTTCATCGGAATGAATGATGAGATGACATTAAGATCTGAGGAAGCTGTCCTCGATGAGCCATCATCAGAAGCATCAATGCGCTTCCAGCCCTGTACGGATGACCTTATTGCGGCAGAGCAGGACAGACAGTGTGTCATCCAGCAGGAGGAGGAGGAGCGACTGCGATCGCAAGCTGTCATTGAGTCTGATTTGATTGACAT